GGGACGCTGTGCCACTGATTCTGAATGACAACCAGCGCAAGTTGCCAAGGTACATGCAGCACAGCAACACATTGTTTGACACTGCAATGTCATAACAAATAAGAATGCGTCATTCTTGTGTGTGCAGCCTAATAATTTTTAATTGACTGCCTTAACACAATGCATGTAGACAAATGGCATAATGTATGTCAACACACCATGATGTGAATGGTCCTGTAGAGTATTTCATTCTGGTCCATCTGGATTATCATTTCATTTAATGGTAAAATGCAGTGGGCCGTGTCAGCCAGTGGTCATCTGAGAAGGATTCCAGTGCTGTGATTTACATCTTTGCTCTGCCCTCTGAAACCTTGGAGCTTTGCATGTTCAGACTTCTTTAAGTTAATTCTATAAAACAAAATTGAAACCATTCCATGGAACAAGCAATCAGACACCAGTGGAATTGGTACCATTTGTATGAAACTAAAGAATATGCAAAATACGTGTGAACAAGGTGTCAATCAATTAAAGTGTTTGTTCACCAATGCCAGAAGTCTGCCAAGCAAAATAGGTGAGTTGGAAGCTTTTATTGCATGAAGAGAGCTATGATTTAATTGGTATTACTAAATCTTGGCTTCATTCTTCACATGACTGGGCCCTTAATATTCCTGGCTATGTTCTCTTTCGGAGAGACAGAGTAAATAGGAAAGGTGGTGGTGTCTGTCTCTATGTGAGAAGTGATCTCAAAGAGTCTGAAAGAGGACCTAGTTGATGGAGAATGCGCTGAGGCTGAAGTATTATGGGTGGAACTGCACATGGGGGTGTGTACTACAATAATCATTTGGAGTTTGAGTCCCAGTGTTAATGAGGAGGTGGAGACTCCGCTCCTTGCACAGATCAAGGGCTCAAGGGCTGGGACAGTGATTATATTAATGGGGGATTTTAACTACCTGGAAATTGACTGGAGTAACAGTACTGCTGAAACAGTTAAAAGGCAAACAGTTTTTAACCTACTACAGGACAGTTTTATGGTACAGTTCATATAGGCCCCTACTAGGAATGATTCTCTGCTGGACCTGGTAATGTCAAACCATGCAGAGCTTATTACGATTGTTCATATAAAAGAACATCTGGGTAGCAGTGACCATAACATGGTTTCATTTATTGTTGGCTGTAAACAGCAAGCACATACGAGAAATCTAAAAACTCTCAATTTCAAGAGAGGTAATTTTCCAAGGCTGAGAGCTGCTCTCCAAGACTTAGACTGGGAGGGAATATTGGCATTGATGAACACAACACAGAAATAGGAGTTCTTCAAGAAGACTGTATGTGAACACCCTGCAAAATATATTCCCATGGGCAACAAGTTTTAAAAGGCTAAAAATCAAACCTATGTGGCTTACGGCCAACGGTAAAAAGGCTATAGATAATAAGAAAAGCGCTTTTATTCAATTTAAAAATGAAGGAACACTATCATCGTTTAAACATTACAAAGATTAAACAGAATATGCAAAAAGGAAATAAAGGCCGCAAAAATTGAAAATGAACGACAGATTGCAAAAGATAGCAGGACCATCCCACAAAAATTCTTCAAATATATATATTTCAGGATAAAGAGAAGGCAAATTTATTTAATAACTTCTTCAGCTCTGTGTATAGAAAAGAGTATGGGGGAGCTCTTGTCCATAATGGGCATTATATTGACACAGCTCCAGATGATCCACATTGGCTCACAACTGATATGATCCAAAAATATTTAGACAGTATAAAGCACCTGGACCGGATGGCATACACCCACGTGTGCTTAAAGAATTGAGCTCTGTCATTTCAAAGCCATTGTTTCTAATTTTTAGGGACTCTTTAATGACTGGCATAGTACCACTGGATTGGCGTAAGGCCAATGTGGTTCCAATATTTAAAAAGGGGTCAAAATTTTTACCAAGTAATTATAGACCTGTTCATTTAACTTCTAGAGTTGGGAAGATACTGGAGAGTTTAATAAAAGACCACATAGATGAGTTCTTGCTGGAAAAAAATATTTTAAGCAACAGACAGCATGGATTCATGAAAGACAGAAGTTGTCAAACAAATCTGATTTCTTTTTATGAGGGAGTGAGCAAAACCTTGGACAGAGGGGGCAGTGGACGTGGTATACTTGGATTTTGCAAAAGCGTTTGACAGTTCCCCACACATGGCTAATGTGTAAGGTAAAGTCTACGGGCTTGGAAAAATCTGTATGTAAGTGGTTAGAAAACTGGCTAAAAGATCGTGTTCAGAGAGTAGTAGTTAATGATTCATACTCTGAATGGTCTGGGGTCATCAGTGGTGTACCCCAGGGTTCAGTGTTTGGGACCCTTACTTTTTAATATATTTATAAACGATATAGGGTCTGAGTTTAACTATCCCATTTCAGTCTTTGCAGATGACACCAAGCTTTGCAGTGGAATAACGTCCTTACAGGATGTCTTCAACTTACAAGCCGACCTCAATGCACTGTTTAATTGGGCAACTATGTGGCAAATGATATTTAATGTTGATAAATGTAAGGTTATGCACTTGGGGGCTAAAAATGTGCATGCATCATACATTCTAGTGGGGGTACAACTGGGGGAATTGGTGGTGAAGGATCTGGGGGTTCTGGTAGATCACAAGCTTAATAATGGCATGCAATGCCAAGCTGCGGTTTCTAAAGCGAGCAGAGTTCTCTCTTGTATTTAAAAGAGATATAGACTCCAGAGAGAGATATCATATTACCCCTGTACAAATCATTAGTAACACCTCATCTGGAATCTGCAGTTCAGTTTTGGGCACCAATTCACACAAAAAGAACATTGGGGAACTTGAGAAAGTACAGAGAAGGGCAACTAAACTGATAAGAGGCATGGAGGAGATCAGCTATGAGGAAAGATTAGAGGAACTGAATTTATTCTCTTGAGAAGAGGAGATTAAGGGGTGATATGATCAACATGTATAGATACATCAGTGGTTCAAATAGTCAACTCTGTGTAGAGCTATTCACCCAGAGGACAAGGGGGCACTCTTTATGTCTGGAGGAAAAGAAATTTATTCTCCAAACACGGAAAGGTTTCTTCACAGTGAGAGCTGTGAAAATGTGGAATAGACTGCCTCAAGAGTTGGCTCTGGCCAGCTCAGTGGATTGCTTCAAAAAAGGCCTGGATTCTTTCTTAGATACACAGAATATAACTAGATACTAACAGTTATAGGTAAAAGTGATTCAGGGAATATCCGATTGCCTCTCGGCGGATCAGGAGGAAATTTTTTCCCAGCAGGTACAAATTGGATCGTGCTTTGCTGGGTGTTTTTTTTTTTTTTTTTTTTTTTTTTTTTTTTTTTGGGGGGGGGGGGGGGGGGGGTGCCTTCCTCTGGGTCAACTGTGGGTATATGATTATAACTTTTTTTTTTTCTTTCTATGTTTGAACTGGATGGACTTTAGTCTTTTTTCAGTCGGACTAACTATGTAATCCCCTTGTATGAATGGGTCGTGGTAGAGTGCAGACCTTGGAACCCAAACCAGTACAATTTACCTCCTTTAGATACTGAGGTATGTAGGAAATGTATTGGGAAGTTTATACTTCCAGCATTCTCCAGAAACTGAAACGTAGAACAGGCCTTTGACATCTTGATTGGATATTTCTCCAGGCAACTTCAATCCAAATACATTGATGTTTCCTATCCTCAGCAACGTCCTTCATGTGAGACACATTTTTTCCTTTTTCCCGGGCATCTCTCAATCAAATATCTTGGAGTGCACATTATAGCAATAAGTTCTATTACCTCAATTACCTAACCTTAGTGGCATCCAAGCAATGTTCTTATACAGGATTTATATAGCGCCAACAGTTTGCTCAGCGCTTTACAATATAAAGGGAGACAATACAGCAACAATACAGTTCAATACAAGAGGGATAGAAGAGGACCCTGCTCCTTGGAGCTTACAATCTAGGAGGGAGGGGTTAGTGGTACAAAAGGTAACTGTGAAGAATGGACTGGTAGGAAGAGTAGAAGATTCCATTCTTAGCTGAGAGCAGGATAGGCTTCCCTGAAGAGAGAGGTTTTCAGAGGTCTCCTAAAAATGAGCAGAGTAGGCGATAGTCTGATAAATTGGGGTAGAGAGTTGCAGAGGATGGGAGAAGCTCTGGAGAAGTCCTGGAGATGAGCATGGGAGGAGGAGACAAGGGAACTAGAGAGCAGGAGGTCTTGTGAGGAGTGGAGAGTACAGTTTGGGTGATGTGGAGACAAGATTGCTGAAGTAATTTGGGGCAGAGTTGTAAATGGCTTTATATGTTATTGTTAATGTTTTGAATTTTATCCTGAATCTCTTGATCCAGTAAAAAGAACTCTTGGCTAGTAGACTTTCTTTAAGCTCATTCTCCAAACAAAGTAAACATGATATTCTGGTTAAGTGCAGACGAGATGGTACTGCTGGATTATGCCACATGGCAATCTATTATATGGCAGCTCCGCTCAGCCCTATCACGAACTGTTTTGTATATGCATGGGGAAAAAAAAAAAGTATGGGTGTCTATAGAGCTGCACACTTCACCTATCACACCCACATCTTTTTCCCTGGGTCTGATCAAAACACCCTTCAACTCCCCCCTTCCCTTTATGACTAGAAATTTGGAACTTTGCAATCCATGCTTACAATATCTTGTCTCATGTCAGCCCACTGATCCTTCTCCACCAATGTTTTTGCCAACCCAGACTTTTTCCCTAGTATGGTGGTGTATCCCCAGGTTTCTGAAATCCTAACCCTCCCCAGTAATGCAAGGTATGATTGCTGATGATTCCAAACCATTAGCAAAATTGTGTGCTGCAAATCTTTCGCACCCTGGCAGGTTGCTTCACTACTTTTAAGAACTTTGCACTTGAATCATAGGCATGGAAGTGGCTTGGGGACTTCAGAGGTTTGTTGCCATTTTGAAAGTGCGAGTTAGACCTAAAGATAGATATATATTTTCTTTTTCCATATAACAGTATATTTTTCTCATCCTTTTTAGGGAAGAACTGTCATCCTTGAGCAGTCGTGGGGGAGTCCTAAAGTAACCAAAGATGGTGTCACAGTTGCGAAAGCAATTGATCTAAAAGACAAATACAAAAACATTGGTGCTAAACTAGTTCAAGATGTTGCCAATAATACAAATGAAGAAGCAGGTGATGGCACAACTACAGCAACTGTCCTTGCTAGAGCAATTGCTAAAGAAGGTTTTGAAAAAATCAGTAAAGGTGCAAATCCAGTGGAAATCAGAAGAGGTACGTATTGTACACGGTATTTCCCTCAGTAATACAAATTATTGCAAATGTCACCATCATTTGCAATCTCCCATCTAGATATCCTGCATTTGTTGGTAAACAGTCAGTGCATCATGGTTGCAGGCTGTTTAAAAGTAGTCCTATTATACAATTCTTTCGATCAATAACTAATTCTTATAAGACGGCCTAGTACATCTTGTGTGCTTTTTTGGTAAACTGTATTACTTCGCAAGATACTGTGGCACTTTAGAGCATGGAACTCTTGCATAGTGCTCCTCCAGCTCAGGCTGCCAGTGGTCAATTATTAAATGCAATATTTCATATCTACCTCATTGAACGTAAATAGAGGGGATTGGCAAAGAAAACTAAGTTTCCCCTTCAAAAGACCTGTTGAGCATCAGAGTTTTAATACACTTGGTGGTGTTAGAAATTAACAATTAAAAGGGATTGTTTTACAGGGATGTTCAATTTATATTGCCCAACACCCGGGATACTTCCGGGCGCCGGGCAGGTAATTTTTTTTTTTTTTTTTTGTTTTGTTTTTTTTTTTTTTTTTTTTTATCTTTTAGCCCTGCTGCAGGCAAGCAACAGGGCTCACCTGTCAGGTGGAAGCTTTCGTTCAGCTGCGCTGCCACCCGATTGCTTCCATACTGCCTATAACCGTGCCAGCCTCCACCCTCCTGCCCGTTATGTCTCCTGGGCTCCGCTTGCCCATCTGCGGACTCAGGACTGGTTCAGCGGGTGCCGGCGGGTATAGAGCAGGGAGGAGAGTGAACACGTACGCTCCCCTCCCCTTGTCCTGATTTGATCCCCATTGACAGATTTTCCGGCCATCGAGGCCGGGAAAGAATGTAATGCAGTGTGATGTGCAAGGCATTACATCCAGTGGAGTACAGGGGAGACCTCCAGTGTCTTTTAGACCCTGGATGTCTCAAAGAGAACCTGTCACCAAAACTCCTCACATTGTCCCCTATGTGAAAAAAAAAAAAAAGTTAGGAAAAAAAATTAATTGTAAAAAATTAGTTACACCCAAGAACATACACCCCCCACATATTCGCACGTACAAACGTAAAAGCATTCGCTGGGATACCTATGCATGCAAATGTCAATTGCGATGCACATGTATGTCACCGCACAGGCCAGAATGAGTGCAATAATTCTAGCACAAGACCTCCTACATAACGCTAAACTAATGACCTATAAGGGGCTTTAAAGTGTTTCCTATAGAAAATGTTGGGTACTAAAGTTTGTCGCAATTTTACGAGCGCGTGCAGATTTAAGGTTTGACATATTGGAAATCTATTTACTTGGTGCAACCTCATCTTTTTTTACCAAAAAATTGGATAATTCTTTTTTTTTTTTTTTTTTTTTTTTTCTGTAAAGCCATAGCTGTGATTCACACACCTCTTATGGACAGCCAGGCACCTGATGACCCTATTTGCTGTATTAGCCTTGCAGCGCTCTGTCGCCTCTCTGCAAGCAATGTTTTCATTACATAATAAATCGGTATCTAAATACTGACCTTTTGTCTGAGTTTCCAGGTGACACAAGGAGACTAAAACTGAACTAGAAAATAATTGCAGATCATTTATAAAACCTCTGTCATGCTGCAAGTTTGGGAGCAAAGGGTACCTGAACAGATTACAAAGTTTACATTTATATATGTAAATTAAGTGCTTCAGTTTCCAATTTAGAGGCGAGTTCACACTACATGCCTTTCGGTTGCTTTTTTTTTCTGCATCCAAAATGCACAGTAGGTTTTATGGTTGTCCAATGTCCTAGTTCACAATAGTGCTTGGAGTTCCAGTTGCAGAAAAAAAGTAGTTGCATTTTTTTTTTTCTGCACAGAACTGTACTGGAACGCGATATAAACTCACGGGAACGCACATGTCCCTATTTAAATGGAGGAAAAAGAGGGGGGGAAAATTAACTGGAATGCATAAAAAGCAATGGAACATGTCAAAAACGCGCATGCAAAAAAAGCATCCGGAACACATCTGTACTGCGTTTCTATAATGTGAACCAACCCTTAATGTGCAGTCCCCTTTTATCATTACGGTCCTATGTTACTTCTCAAGGGCCAAGTGTTTTCATGCTAAACTGGTAAATACACAAAAGCTGCCTAGCTTTAAATTTTTTTCCTAAATTGGTTTTACAGGTGTTATGTTGGCAGTGGATGCTGTAATTACAGAATTGAAGAAACAGTCAAAACCTGTAACAACACCAGAAGAGATAGCACAGGTAATCATTTTCTAGTCAGTTTTGCTGTGTGGTTTTCATATATATATATATATATATATATATATATATATATATATATATATATATATATATATAGCAATAATGAACAAAAATATATATTCATAATAAACAAATCAAAATGCAGTTCAATGATCTAATAAATAATGGTTAGAGTTTGAACCAGCAATTATTTTCAAATATTAATGAATTAGGACTAACTAGGTCTGAAAATTCAGTGTAGGAAATGCTCAGTAACTTGGCAACATATGACAATGGCTATGCAGATTAACCACATGATCTCTCTACATCCAGATGCTCAAAGTGTACCTCAGCATGAATTGATTTGGAATACCATACACAAGACAATCCAATAAACTTAGAATCTGAGGTCTTAAAACAAATGTTCCACTAAGTTGTCTATTTTGCCATTTATATCCAGCTAAACCATTGGCTAGAAGCTGAAAGCAGCTTTAGTGATATTTCAAAGGACATCCTCCTCCAGAGAATTGAAATGAAGATATTTATACTGCAGTTAAAATCATTTTAAATGGACTCCGGTGCTAGCCATAAGTTATTAGACTAGACTGCTTAGCTGGAGATAAAAGGCTTGTACAAATTGCCTGCGGAAAATGAAAGTTATACGTCATCAATATAGATTCCGTGATATCATTGATGTCAGCTTTAAGTCAGCGCACTTCTGTGTGTTTCTGTGTTTGTCTCTCTCTCGTCTCTGACCATCCTCTAACTTTTGTCAAGCCACAGTTTTTTTTAGTGCCAATGTAATATAAAGAAGACAAGGCAACTATTGAATCACTTGATCTATAGACATTGATTGACAGATGTTATACTTCCTTCCTCTTAAAATGTGTTGCAAAACAAAATGCAGAAGGCCATTCTCTAGGGGAGTGTCCTATTTGCTACTAAGTAAACAAAAAAAAATAAATCAGTCCATTTCTGCTAGGTGAAAGGGGTGTGTCCTTCGCATGATTAATTCAGGTGTGTGCTTATTGATCTCCTGCTATTCATTGCATTGCAGTATGATTTAGATACTTTGCTAATCTAATTTTTACAGGTTGCTACAATATCTGCAAACGGAGATCATGAAATTGGCAAAATTATTTCGGATGCTATGAAAAAAGTTGGTCGAAATGGTGTTATAACTGTCAAGGTATGTATTGTTTAATGCGGGTAAAGGGTCTAAACCTTGCAGAATTAATGTACCTTGATGGGGCTGATTTACATTTGCCTCAATGCGGGATTGCTAATTTCTTCCAGTGAATTTAGCCTTCTGTGCCTAGAGGTATGTATAGTGCTTCTGAATTTCCAGCATATTTGGACACCCAAAATCTGGCAGACTAGAGATTTAGCTACTTAAGATAGGTGAGCATGCCCTTCACAAAATCATCCCCATTTCTGCTGTTGGCAGAATCTAACATTAACAGGGCCATAACTTGTCTTCACCTATAGTTATTTTGCTACCCTTCCGCAAATTTTTTCTAGGACCAAGCTCAAATCCTCCATGATCCAACATAGTATATGTGAGTGAAGTCTCCATTTTGGCAGCATTTGGGTTTAGTTATGGATTTTGAATTTCAGCCGTGTGCAACTGAACGAAAACAAGATAATTGGCAACATTCATTGGTGTCATAAGTATATAATTACTTGTGTAGCCTAGCCCTCCATATCCAGTACCCCTGATATAAGTACTCCTGCCTGTTTCTTCCAATTTGTAGGACATTTACATATAGCTAGTTGAATTTATATTGGCTGTATATATGAAATATTGAACAAATCTATAACAGAAATATTTGGTAAGTGCTGCATTTTACTTTGTTATAAGTGAATACTGCTAAATATTTTTACAGGACGGAAAAACACTTCATGATGAGCTGGAGATAATTGAAGGATTGAAGTTTGATCGAGGCTACATTTCTCCCTATTTTATAAACACTGCTAAAGGTAGGTGGTGTTTTGTCTTTTGTTTTTGGTTTTTTTTTTTTTTTTCTTCCCTTTTTTCTAATTTGAAGTGTGTTTAAAACATTGGAAAGTCCAAACTGTGCATTCAGAGATCTTAAGCTATGTCTGTCCCACATAAGATGGTCCCTGGAACATACCCTTTCTTTTAATAAGTTCAGTATTGCTCAGAGCAATAGTAAAGCAGCAATAATATTCTAATGGTAGGGAAAAAACAAGCTGTCCAATTACAAAAAGAAAAGCAAAACCAAGTGTAGTGAGCAACAACTAGAGCTTTCTTTTGGTGGTGTTTAATCATCACCGGGGTTTTTATATTTTGCTAAATTAACAAAAAAAGACCAAAACATTTTTAAAACAAAAAACACGTTTTTCTTTGTTTCTGTTATAAAAGTTTGCAAATAAATAAACAATTGTTCTTCATAGGTTTAGGCCAAAATGTATTCTACTACATGTCTTTGGCGAAAATAACCCAAATTAGGATGTATTATTTAGTCTGTAGGAAAGTTATAGAGTTCACAAACTATGGTATAGATCTGAATATTGATCAATCCTGAAGTACTGACTGCCAATCTAATTTCTTGAGGTCCAAGAATGTCAGAACAGTACAGATATCCCCCAAATGACCCCTTTTTGCAAAGTAGACAGTCCGACGTACTTCATAAGAGGCATGGCAAGTTTTTTCAAGTGCAGTACATCATTCTCATATAACTGGCATGGCGGTGATCATGGACACTGACTGGTGACAGTACGAAAAAAAAAAAATATATATTTATTTTTTTTTTAATTTTATTTATTACTTTTTTTTTCTCTTGTGTTAAGATTTTTTTTTTTTCATATTTCATTATGACCAAAGTAGTATACGGTTACCATAGTAACATTGTACTGCTTCGGGGAAGTGATCAGTATTGTTTTTTTTTTTTTTTTTTTTTTTGTGCTTAACTGTGATTTGGCCACAGCTAATCATATGACACAGCTGAGCTGTGATTAGCCCAGCTTGTGCATGTGATCACTGTGACAATTCACAGCTAGACACACTAGTATACAATGGATGGCATGAAAGGAAGCCATCCATTGTATACAACTGTCATGTGACCTGCTGTGATTAGTCACAGCAGGTCGCATGGTACTGGCAACAGGGCCAGTACACAGATCTGTCATCGGCCGTGTCTGAGGTACACGGCCAGTGTCAGATTGCGCGGCTCTGCAGGGAGGCAAACTGCGCATGCCTGAAAGGACGCCATATGGCGTACACCCGGAGAGACAAGCTGGAGAAGTGGAGATGTATATATTTCAAATGCAGTGTTTTTCGGTCCATTTCACATGGGGTAGGTTCCGATTTTTGCTCAACAGGGGATTTATCTACTGATCCTCTGAGCACAGCGGGAGATGACAGGTCCATGTCTGCTCAGTTTATGCAGAGCTGACCCTGACCAAGCCCACTCAGCCGGCCCATGGGCAGCCGGGTGTAAACTTGACTACATTACGATGTGATCCACGTAGATGGAGGTGGACGGATCCCCCTTCATTTTTTTTTTTTTTTTTTTTTTTTTTTTTTTTTATACACTGTACATTATTTCTCTCTCCTCTGCCCTCTAAAGCAGTTCATCAAACAGATCAGTTTCATCAGATGCTGTACAAGCCAGGAACGGCTTGTAAATAAACCGGAAGTGATGATGTCCTCAACACTTTCTGTTTCTGACGTCACAGAAGAGGAGTGGGAACATCCATTGTTTCCACTCTGTACAAGTAATGTGAAGCAGTCACATCGGTACCGGGCCCGGTAAAGGTGGGGAGGGACCCCTTTCCACCTCCGGTAAATGCGGTTAAGCGGCTGTATAGCCACTTGAATCTCATTTACTTTGAAGGGAATCGCTGACAGAAAAGAGAGGTACCAGGTTCAGCCATGATACTGGTATAACCACTTAACTCAAGGCCGTTTTTTATATGTACAGCCAATGGGTGGAAAGTGGTTAAATTTAAAGAATAGTATGACAGAAAAAATAATGGAGAGCTTCAACAGAAGAGGAGGTAGGGAGAGCAGGGAGGAGAGTGGTTGTGACCCTCCTGCCGGATTGTTCCAAATAACCCAATATAATACAATTGGGGAATGTTAAAGCTGTTTGGCTAAAGAGACACTTGCAAAGTCTCATGCCAAAAATGCTAATTTAAATGCTGCTTGTGTTCTCTCTTTTCTTTTCTTTTTTTCTTTTTTTTTTTTTTTTTTTTCTTTTCCCTCTTTCTCCCCCTCCGCTCTTTTATGCCTGACACCCATGTTTTTGGTGGAGACACAGTGCCTTGAAAAAGTATTCATACCACTTGAAATTTTCCACATTTTGTCATGTTACAACCAAGAACGTAAATGTATTTTATGTGATAGATCAACACAAAATTGTACATAATTGTGAAGTGAAAGGAAAATGATAAATGGGTTTTAAATTTTTTTTTTTTTTTTTTTTTTTTTTCTCAAATATGTGAAAAGTGTGGTGTGCATTGGTGCTCAGCCCCCATGAGTCAATACTTTGTAGAACCACCTTTTTGCTGCAATTACAGGTGCAAGTCTTTTTTTTTTTTTGGGTATGTCAAAGCTTTGCACATCTAGAGAGTGACATTTTTGCCCATTCTTCTTTGCAAAATAGCTCAAGCTCTGTCAGATTGGAAGGAGAGAGTCTGTGAATGGCAATTTTCAAGTCTTGCCACAGATTCTCAATTGGATTTAGGTCTAGACTTTGACTGGGCCTTTTTTTAACACATGAATATGCTTAGATCTAAACCACTCCATTGTAGCTCTAGCTGTATGCTTAGGGTCTTTGTCCTGCTGGAAGTGAACCTCCGCCCCAGTCTCAAGTCTTTTGTAGACTCTAACAGATTTTCTTCTAAGATTGCCCTGTATTTGGCTCCATCCATCTTTCCCATCAACTCTGACCAGCTTCCCTGTCCCTGCTGAGGAAAAGCATCCCCACAGCATGATGCTGCCACCACCATGTTTCACGGTGGGGATGGTGTGTTCAGGGTGACGTGCAGTGTTGGTTTTCTGCCACACGTAGCATTTTGCTCTTGGGTCAGAAAGTTCAATTTTGGTCTCATCTGACCAGAGCACCTTTTTTCCACATGTTTGCTGTGTCCCCCCCCCCCCATGGCTTTTTGCAAACTTATGGCTTTCTTTCAACAATGGCTTTCTTCTTGCCACTCTTCCATAAAGGCCAGATTTGTGGAGTGCACGACTAATGATTGTCCTGTGGTCAGATTCTTTCACCTGAGCTGTGGATCTTTGCAGCTCCTCCAGAGGTTACCATGGGCCTCTAGGCTGCTTCTCTGGTTAATGCTCTCCTTGCCAGGCCTGTCGGTTTAGGTGAACGGCCATGTCTTGGTAGGTTTGCAATTGTTGTGCCATACTCTTTACATTTTCGGATGATGGATTGAACAGTGCTCTGTGAGATGTTCAAAGCTTGGCATTTTTTTTTTTTTATAACCTAACCCTGCTTTAACTTCTCCACAACTTTATACCTGACCGGTCTGGTTTGTTCCTTGGCCTTCATGATGCTGTTTGTTCAGTAAAATTCTCCAACAAACCTCTGAGGGCTTCACAGAACAGATGTATTTATACTGATATTAAATTATACACAGATGGACTCTATTTACTAATTAGGTGACTTCTGAAGGCAATTTGTTCAGCTAGACTTTAGTCAGGGGTATCAGAGTAAAGGGGGCTGAATACAAATGCTCACCACACTTTTCAGATATTTGTAAAAAAAAAATTTGAAAACCATTTATCATTTTCCTTCCACTTCGCAATTGTGTCACTTTTGTGTTGGTCTGTCACATAAAATCCCAATAAAATAAATTTGTTTTATTTAAAGAGCGAATGTGCGGGCGGCCAGAGCGGATGCGATGATGGCCGCTCCACTCCTTCCCTGCACCCTTAGGGGGGGGGGACACAGTGGACCATGACCGCGTTCCTCCTGGCCACTCACCCAGTTGGTTTGCGGAGTAGGTGGGGTACCTCCGATGCCCACCCGACCGGCTGGAAGATCGGTGGGCAACTCCCGCGCTGCCCGCTGAAGAGGGGAGGTGGTGGCAAGATTCTGACTGGCGCCGGATCTCGGAGCTCCTCATCTACAGAGGAGATACAGCCTCTAACACAACGGGCCCAGCTCACCTCATCCAGTCCTGGGACACAGTGACTGCTCCCCAGGCTCGTGTGAGTGTGTATTCTGCTCATTCTGGGTCTATATCTAGCCCTGTCGGGCCTCCCCCTCAGGCTGCAGCCCTGTCACCGGGACAGGAATCACAAATTTCCTCCCTACTTAATAGGAAAATGGCAGAGATATTCAATAGCCAGCTCAGTGGCCAAGATTCTGCTCCTGATGGTCCAATTCTTTCTCCAGCTGTACCCCAGCACTATTCAGGGGATTCTGTTTTTATTGCTTGTTTTGCTGAGTTACTTCAGAGGGAATTAGAAAAAGCTACCACTAAACTAGCCTCTGATCTCCGGCAGGATTTTAGGGCTATCGGAAGCCACTTGGAGAACATTAAAAATAAAGTTGATGATACCGTTCATAGTGTGTCACAGAATTTTTTCAGGATTACGGACTTACAAGATGAGGAAGATTATACAAAGATAGACGACCTTGAGGACTGAGCCCGCCAGTACAATTTCCCAATTGGAGGCCTACCGGAAACGGCTAAAGGTATCGCTTAATGTGCCACTTCCTTATATTGTCAGCAGTTCCGGATACTGATGAAATTCACACTGAGATTGACTGCATCCATAGAGCTCTGATCCTCTTAAAGCCTAATGGAACCCCTTGAGATATAATCGTAAATCCTCACAGAATTTGAAGCAGTGATGCGGTACGCAAGGGAAAATCCAGACTTGGAAATTGATGGATACAAGATTCGGGTCTTTGCCGACATTTTTCAAGCTACTGTCCAAAAAAAAGGAGGGCGTTCAAACCGTTACTGTCGCCTTTGATTCACAGAGACATCCTCTATAGATGGAACTATCTTTTCTGTTTACAATTTATTTAGAATGGCCAATCCTACGTTTTCTGAAGGAGAGAAAATCTTGCTGAATTTGGGCTTTATTTTCCTTAGCCTCCCATCGTGAAATTCTTCCAAGGCTGACTGCCCTCCTCCACTTTCACCTCTATGGTCTCCATCTCCCAGGAAGAATAAATCTGCTACTCCACTTCCTAAGGAACTTTTATAGTTCCTATATGATTTTCTAGTTGGCGGGGACCTCTTTGTGGTCCTATTTGAGGACATTGGCCTCCGCCTTTGTTGTTTTTGCATTATTGTTACTTGAGCTATGCACTCTAGTAGTGATACGGGACAGAGAACAGCAATATCTATTAGTTAAAAGCCACTTGGGAGGAAATTTGGTAACTTTTCTGATTTTACTATGCCCCCAATGTGAATCAATTAGCATTTTTTTCGATCCCTGTTTCAAACTATATTCCTGGAGTTAAAAAGGCGATGTAATTTTGGCGGGGGATTCGAATCTGGCCTTAGATCAAAGGCTCGATAAAACGCATACAACTAAACTTGGATCCCCTCCGAAACAGTCGTGCATTTGCACAACTTTTGTATCGCTGTAACTTGATAGTCGCATGGAGGGATGCCAATCCTACCTCCAGAGACTACACCCATTTTTCTAGAGCTCATAATTGCTACTTGCGTATTGATCACATCTTTCTCCCTACAGAGATGCTGTCTAAACTGATTTCAGCTAAAATTGTGTCGACACCCTGGTCAGACCATGACTCGGTGATGTTAACGCGCTCTAATTTAACTGTCAACTTAGCCAAGCCACATTGGCAGTGAGTCGATCCGCCTCGGCGTCCATAGAAATCTTATTTTAATATCAATAAAATGGAAGATACAACTCTTGCTTTTAACTGGGCAGCTCACTAAGCCTTTGTCAGAGGTATTTTTTATGCAACTAGCTTCTAGACTTAAGCGATCTCACGAAGATTTGACATCTGCCAAAACTAGGGAATAAGAAGCTTTGTTTGCCCAACACACAAATACCCCATCCCCGGACCTATTACTCAAGGTGGAACAAGCTCGACTAGAACGTAATCTTTGCCTCACTACGAAAGCGGGAAAAACAGCTACTTTGGCTGAACCATACATTTTTCACATGGCGGGATAAACCTGGTTCTCTTGGCACGTAAACTTTCTCCTAAACATACTTATTCAGCCCTTCCTAAGCTTAGGCTTTTGGGAGGTCAAATCTCACAGGATTCTCAGAAAATCCTTCAGGAGCCCTCTTTGCTTCAAAATTTTTTTGGGACCTTTACGGTTTCCAATCATTGCTGAAGCCCACGGGGAACTTATGGAACAGCCTATAACTAGCGACAAACTGGGTAAGGTTCTTAAAATGCTAATGTCACATAAGTCCCCAGGCCCTGACAGCTTAACTAATATTTATTCTAAAACTTTTTATGAACAGCTTCCCCCCCTACATATGGCTCTTCAATTCCGAGAGAGGGAGAGGGGGGGGGGGGGAGAGGGAGAGAGGTGATTCCTTTGGACGAAAATAGTCTATATTAGCGTTATCCCTAAACCTAACAAGGACACTACTGATATTCTTAACTATAGGCCTATCTCATGACCTGAAAATCCTGACAAAACTTCTGGCCCTGCACCTTAATTATTTATTTTTTTTAGCACTATATATTCACAAAGATCAATTGGGTTTTATATCGGGTCGTCAAACATTAGATCAAATTCGTAGGTCTATTGCTTTGATTTCCAGTGTTTGCTCTAATTGGGATACCCCTCTCTATTGGAAACGGTTGCTCTTCTCTTTAGACCTTCATAAAGCTTTCGATGGCTTACCCTGGGACTATTTGTTTACTATCTTTTTTTTTTTTAATTTAAATATTTTATTGATTTTTCAATTAAATACATATTTCCATCGGTTTCTCAAAAAACATACAAAAACCATTACTTATTTCCCCTTCTATGACTTTTCCCCACCCCCGCCCATCCCACCTCCCTTCCATCTCTCCATCTCCCTCCCCCACTCCACCCACTCTGCATCCCCCCTTTCTTCCCTATAAAAGCAATAGGGACGTTCATGTCATCACACACTATATAGCTTCCTATATTTCACCTTCAAACCGAGTTCTGCCCATTTTTTTTTTCCATTTCACATAGTATAACCCCATCTTATCTTCATACATATGGTAAAGTTTCTCCATCCTACAGATCTGGTTCACTCTATCTACCTAATCATCTTCCTTCGGCACCTCCTGCCTTTCGCCAAAAGTTGGTTATCAGACCTTTTTAATATCTTGAGAGCTTTTGGATTTGGTCCTACATTTCTTACCCTATTACAGTCCTTATACCATACTCCCTCAGCTCAAGTGTCCATTAGAGGTTACAGATCCCCCGTATTCCCAATTCGTCGCGACACCAGACGAGGTTGTCCACTCTCCCCATTACTTTTTGCACTGGCTATAGAACCCTTGGCTATAGCAATTTGCCCTTACTCTGGTATTCACGGGATCCACTGCGGTCAAAAGGAAAATAAATGCACTTTATTTGTGAACAACGTTCTAATGTATATTTCCTCCCCTCTAACTGCCATACCTAATCTACTATCTCTTTTGCACCATTTCTCTGAACTCTCGCTGGGCTCTTTTAAACTCTCAAAAGACGACGACACTCAATGTCTCGTTCCCCTCTTCCATGGAACAACAGCTTAAGACTATGTATGATTTTCAATAGGCCAACACCTCTTTACCCTATTTAGGGATTAATTTTGACAGCTTACATGGAGACCCTTTATCAAGCAAATTATCCCCCTCTTTTCAAACGCCTTAAAGAAGATCTTCGTCATTGGGCTGCCTACTGTTTCTTTGTTTGGCAAGATCAACTCTGACTACTGTATTTTTTTAGGACCTTACCAATATCGATTCCGAGACGTGCGCTACAGACCGAGGTGCTTTTTGACTGGAACAATAGAAGGCCCAAGATGAAACAAAAAAAACTCTATACGCTTTGAAATCTCATGATTGCAGTGGCCTCCCTAATCTTCACACATATTTCCATGCCGCCCAAATTGTGCAATAGGCTTATACTACTGCTAAGGGATCTATTCTCCTTTGGGTTTCTATTGAAGCTCTTTCCTGTAATTCCTTGGCGGTTAGTGCCCTACTTTGGCTCCCTTGTCAATCTCGCCCTCCTATATTGTGTCCCTCATTACCTTTCTCGTTGTCGGTCTGGGATAGCGTAGGCCATCGCAAATCCCTAGCTTTCTTGCACACGCCTTTAGCCCTCTGTATTCTGTAATCCTGAATTTGTACCTGGCTTGGTTCTGGCTACGTTCCAATGGTGGATTAATAAGGGGCTACTGCGAATAGAAGATTACCTGTGGGGGGGGCCAAATTTCCCCTCGTCAATATTTTAAAGACAAACTGCAGATGCCTCCCACTGAAATTTTTTAGATTTTCTCAAATTGCCTCTTTTATCCGCTCCAAAAATTATTTTACTAGATGGACCACATATTCTTACCACTTTCGAAATCTCCTGTCAAAGTAACAATCTTTCTAGAGGCTATTTTTCTACGGTGTATGCACTTCTTACTGATCCAAGTTGTAAGCGTCCCTATATGGATCAATGGGAACGGGACCTGAATATGAGTTATGATCTATCAGACTGGCGAGATATAGCCTTGGCATTATCCAAGGTTTCGATCAACACCACCTTAATTGAAGCAAACTATAAAACTTTGAGGTGGTATCTGGTCCCAACTCGGATTGCGAGCATGCATCCTCCGACTGCTTTCCCAAGGTGCTTTTGGCGTTGTGGCCAGACGGGGTCTATGTGTCACGTCTGGTGGCAATGCCCAATAGCAACTAGATTTTGGATCCACATATTTATTCTAATCTATACGGTGATGGGGGTGAATGTCTATCTGTAGGGCTCCGGAGACAGCCCTCTTCCATAAGTTTACAATATCAAAGAATTCCCTTTTAAACTGCTTGCCTATATGCTGTTAGCAGCAAGAATTGCTATAGCTGAACATTGAAGTTCTAGTATTCCTCTTGAATATATTTAAAAATAAATTTGAACTGGATCATAATCAATGAGACTTACCTGTGTTTTATACAACAATACTACCAAATTTGACAAAACATGGGACCCATGAATTCAATATACCTCCGTACCTTGATCCTCACAGAGGTGACCCTCTTCTTCCTTATTTCTTTTCTTACTTTATACTGTCCATTTTTTTTATTCCTCCATGCCACGAGGCTGGTTGAGCCTATTTGAATTTGTTCTACAACATTTGTCATGTTTTTTTTTTAACGCTGTGTGCTTCATGAAGCTACTATTACTGATTCTCATTCCTATGGGGGAACTCATGCGAAATATATTCACTGGCCCTACCAGAATCACCTCGTGCTGAACTTCTAAATTTACAAGATGTGTCTGTGGTTTTGTAACGAACCGCCTGACGCCACCCCTAGCAATCCACTGGTCAGGTTTCCCCAGAGCGCGGAGTCTAAGTCCCGGTTCACTTGTTCACCAGGGCCCCTGATGGTGGGGATGGACTTGGCGTGAACCGAGATCAGGTCGCGGCTCCTGAGTGCACCCACCAGTGGTAGAGGAGCTCGCCAGAGGTTCCTGCAGGGTGAGAGCCTGATGTGAAGAGGCAGGGATACCCCGACAAGATGGATGAGCAAGTGCGTGGTCAGACAAGCCGAGTCGGTAGCCGTGGGGTCGGTGCGGTACAAAACAGCGGGCAGAGAATGGTCTTGTCACATGCCAGGTCAGCAACAGATCAGATCCACAAGGGGGCATCCAGGAGAAAGGTCAGGCAAGCTAGGGGTCAGGGCAGGAGAAATCAGCAAGGTCAGAGCAATCTGGGTCAGCAGTAATCAACAATAGCACAGGTTCAGGAACAGAATACAGGAAAGACCATACGGCAACCAGTGACAGCACAGGGAGGATTTAAATACCGCGCCCTGCGCTGTCATTGGTGCCAGGCGCGCACCCGTGGTCCCGAGTGCGCATGCGCGAGCTCCGTTGCCGGCCAGGACCTAGTGCCCGCACACCAGTGCGAGTCGGCACACTGCGCCTGCGCTGAGCCCAACGCCGCCGCGGCTCCTGACAGGTTTGTTACTACAAGTGTTCTTTATGTATTAATGATACCTTCTGTTATATCATGACATTTCTCCTTGATGTTATTTGTAATTTCAAGGGGTATGAATACTTTTTCAAGGCACTGTACAGAAATAAAACATGGAAGGTTATCATATTTATTGTACTAGAAATAGTACAATAATAGTTTTTATTGTAGTTTTTGCCCTTGTTCGGGAGATTCCAACTCCCGTTCTGTTCAACACCCACCAAATAGCAAATGAGGAAAAAATATTCCAATTTGGGACACAGATGGCAATAAAAGTTGACAAAACTTTCCTAATCCTCTCCACTCTTTCAAAAACTTGAAAAAAAAAATGATTTGACTTAAGTTGGGCTTTAATTGGCTGAAATATTTGCTACAGAAAATATCTGATGCGGAATTAAATTTAACAGTGTAAATTCTAGAATATTGTGTACAGTAGTACATCCAGGATTTATTAGAGCATTTTTTTTTTTTTTTTTTTTTACAAATTATTTTACATAACATTTTTCAACTTAATGATATCATTCCATGGCAATCGAGAACAAAATCTGTTTTGTTTATTTTTTCTTCACAGGTCAAAAATGTGAATTCCAAGATGCGTATCTTCTGCTTAGTGAAAAGAAAATTTCTAGTGTTCAGTCTATAGTTCCGGCTCTTGAGATTGCCAATGCCCACCGCAAACCTTTAGTTATAATAGCTGAAGATGTCGATGGGGAAGCTTTGAGTACTTTAGTTTTAAACAGGTAATGGAGGGAAAGATATTGATGACTCCGTTGCTGATTAGACACAGAATGATATAGATGTGTGGGGTTGCCCAAGTGCATGTGTGTAAGGCAATGGATCATTCCTCCTGAAAGGCATATGTATTAATAGCATTTCATGTATATCTGCATGCCCATGGAATGTCCGAGGCAAAGAAAGTTTGACAATAGATAATTTATTGCTTATTCTACAAAAATATTCTGAAATGGCACCCCTAGAATAGATTATAAATTGAATCATGGTGATATTTCAAACTTCAGTCACACATCTCTCAATGTTTTGAATGTTGTAATAAGTCACCCAGCCTAGTTACATGGCGACTATTTTTGAGAGATAGAGATAAATAATTTTTTTTGGTATGTGTGTGTGTGTGTAATGAACAATGATGGAGCGCAATTACTTTTGTCAGTAAAAAATGTGTAGGTTCTTTTCTTTGCGGGAGGGTACCAACAGGTTTTGTCTACGGCTGTAAATATACAGTATGCATGTATTGTATGGTAATATAAATTTGACTGTAACATTTTCTTTTTTAGGCTGAAAGTTGGTCTTCAAGTAGTTGCTGTGAAAGCCCCAGGTTTTGGTGATAACCGGAAAAATCAGCTTAAGGATATGGCCATTGCTTCAGGTGGAGTTGTAAGTTGGCATAGCATTTTGGAAACCCTATTTGAATTGTAGTGTAATTTTGATTACCAAATTCCAACATTCAACAGAATGTGACCCCTCTGTGCAGTGTGGTTTTTGTGGTCAAATTAACTCTGAGAGCTGTGTTACAGCAGCAGGGTTATTCAATGCTAGGAATGTTCCATTAATGACCCTGGCAAGAAAGGATCTCCTGGTCTTCTGTGTTGGGTTGGGGGGGGGGTCAGGGGCAGAGGGAAACAGCTTTGTCCTGTTCCACTTAAGGCCTGGCATGCTACACCCTCTTCTTCTTATCCACCCATTTTTTTGTAATTTTTAGCACTGATAGTTTGACAGTTACTCTGCCATGCAACACTGTACCAAAAGTTTTTTTTTTTTTTTTTTTTCTTCTTTTTCTTTAGACAGAGCTTTCTCTTGGTGGTATTTAAAAACTACTGGGATTTTTTTTTATTATGCAGAGCAAAAAATGCTAGAACAGTACAGACTCCTCCGCAATTACTTCTTTTTGGAAAATGTTTACCCCATGTTGGTCTAATTTTCTGCCAAAATTTTTTGTTAATGAAGAAGTATGCTGGTATTGAGATGGTTTCAGTGCTTCCCTTGTAAACCTTTTTAACTATTTGATTCTCAGTTTCAGCACTCTACTCTCCGTCCTCTCCTTGCGCTGTGCTTTCTTTAGAAATTGGAAGGCTGCTAAGCCACTCCTGGGAGTGGGTAACAGAATGAGCTTAGCTACTGAAATGAAAACTTATTTCTGGAAATTTTGCATATGCCTGTGGCTATAGAGTGCTTGTTTTGAAGCTTGTATACTGTCTTCGTGTGTACACTACATATTTGAATGTCCATAGCCTGGCCAGTGCTCTACCTCCTTAAAGGAGCAGATTACTTTGTGGAAGCAAAATAATTTCTGAAGTCTGTAAATATAAGGTGTATCTCTTTTGCAGGAAAAGTCTTTTCTTTTTCTTTTAATGCTGGCCTTTCTGTGGTCCCAGTATGTTTACAGGATACGTCACTTCAAGACTTTACTTTCCTCTGCTCTCCATTTACAAGAGAATTGTCTGTCTGAAGAGGTCTGATTTATGGAAAGGTTTCCAGGCTTAGGTTGGAGACTATCCACTGCAAGCAGCTGGACTCTGTAATCTTTATTACTACAAAAGTGCAATGAGAATTTTTGATTTGCCTGTAAATTCCATATCTTAGGAGGACAGTACAGGACACATCAAACTTATTCGTACACCATGGAACATCCCTAATCAATTAATACAAGGGTGGACAACAACTAGGCAAGATCGATGCCAAACGGTCCACGAAACAGTTCAAACTCCAGGTTCAGAATGCCGCTGTAAGATCCTTGTGGCTGAATGCTGCGTCCCTAGATGATTGGACATTTACCTAGTAAAGCTTTGAATAAGATAAACTGAAGACCATGTAGTGGCCTTACAGAGTCTTGGTACCTAAAGGCCCAGGATACTCAAACAGATCTGGTGAAGAGGGCACATAACTGCACAGGAGGAAGCATTTGTTTTTTGAACATAAGCGCTTGTTTGTTCTTAATAAAATTCCTTATCCACCGTGCAATGGTAGGTTTTAATGTAGGGTATACCTTGCGAGGTCCAGCAAAGAGGACAAACAGGGAGTCTGTTTAATGGAAGCAGTAGGTCTTAGATATACTCTAATGGCTTGAACGGTCTCCAAACACTGGAGAACGGTCTCCAAACGCTGGAAAAGGGCTGATTTTACTATAATCTCATGAGATTACAGTAAAAGATCAGTTTACTAAGCAGAGGTAAATTATCGCTGCTTAGTTTGTGGTCCCTCAGATTCTCCAGCTCTGGACTGGAGAATCTGGAGGGAGAACACAGATCTCCAGTGAAGAGCTGAACAGTTCTCCACTGATCTCCTGAGTGTCATAAACTGTGAATGACCAGAGAATAGCTGCAGTCCTCTGAATCACAGCTATTCTCTGTGTCCTAAACGGACACCTATGTCCCTAGTACAGTCGGGGATTTTACAGAGCAGTGTTGGCAGCTTCAGCACATGCTCAGTTTTTAGTGAGTTTCTATGCTGAGCACTTCTTCCCTACATAATGAAAAGTGACAATGTAAATTAAACAGTGTGTTTTCATAGGAAATGTGACATAGGTGAGATTACTGCTTTTGTCAAGTTTGTTGAGTACCTGAAATAGAGCTACAATAGAATGCTGAGACAGGTGTTAATACTGGGTCTTGCTCTGGTGTAAGGGATACATAGTCACTCTGAGTTTGAGTGTCCTGCAGACCTTTAGCACAGCAAATGTTCGCCTGTTTAGAATTTGGCTCCTTTTCGCCTGATGTCTACAAGTGGGGATATTCCCCTGTGGGGTACTCAGAGTAGAGTGTGAGAGATGGGGTAAGCGTGTCCTGATGGATTACATAACCCAGGTGTTGACTCATCATAGCGAAAGGGCAGGAGAATTGGGCCTGAGTGGTGTGATGTAACCCCGGTAAGCCACATGAGTTCTGAGTAGTCTAAGGGTACTGGGTTACCATAGCAATGGACCTAGACTTGGACAGCACCTTGAAGCTAACTGCTAAGGGGAGCTCCCCATGCAGAATATGGTGCCTGAAGCAATTTTACAGGCTGTCACCACAGCATGGGGTCCAATACAGCTCCCAAGGTTGCACTCATACATCCAGATGTACTGCTTCCGCATAGACATTAGAAGACAGTGAGTCTGAGTGAAGAATCAGGAGATAGTATATATAGAAAAACAAATGTATAAACCTGTAAAGCTGATTTCTATGGCATTAGCAAAATACTGAGGACTTATAGGAAAGGTGCCCCAGGAGGGGAGTGTCCTCAATAGCTTGTCATTGTCCAGTCAAATGAAGGTAAAGAATAAAAACTTTAGATGTAGAATTATGGTTGCATGTGCGCATATAAATGTATAATATTTTATTTTGCATAGGTTTTTGGAGAAGAGGCTCTCAACTTGAGTATTGAAGACATTCAGCCACATGACTTTGGAAAGGTGGGAGAGGTAATAGTTACAAAGGATGACACTATGATATTGAAAGGAAAGGGAGACAAGTCACAGATTGAGAAAAGAATTCTAGAAATCCAGGAGCAGTTGGAATCTACAAACAGTGAATATGAAAAAGAAAAATTAAATGAGAGACTGGCTAAGCTTTCCGATGGTGTTGCTGTACTAAAGGTAAGGATTTTAAGCGTCTTGTATGGTGTGTGTATGTGGTGTGTTTTTTTTTTTTTTTTTTTTTTTTTTTTTTTTTTTTTTTTTTTTTTTACTTCCCCCCTATGTTTGTTTACGCTTGGGCAGCCACTAACTTACATATTGAACACCCTTTAGGTTGGTGGAACCAGTGATGTTGAAGTTAATGAAAAAAAGGACCGAGTGACAGATGCTTTAAATGCCACACGTGCAGCAGTAGAAGAAGGCATTGTATTAGGAGGTGGCTGTGCACTATTGCGTTGTATACCAGCACTGGACTCTCTGACACCATCTAATGAGGATCAAAAAATTGGTACTTTGTGTTAACTACTTTTTTTTTTTTCCTTTTTTAATTGTCAATTTCCAAGTTTATGTTTGGTGTTTTCCAAAATGTGTCTGACATCCCCAGTCACGTGCCAGGAAATGTGATGGATGTGTATAATGTAAGCAAAGAATAAAATTAGTACAGCTGATCTTTTAGAGCAGACCAACCTGGAATTTTTTAAATGCTTGACTTAGACATATTCTTTATTGAAACACCCATTTACTTCCCAAAGCGTGCAGGGTCTTTGTACTTCTGTGTACACATCTGAAAGTTATGAGCATCCTTTTTTTTTTTTTTTTTTTTTTTTTTCTTTCTAGAATGCATTTGAATGTACAACAAGCCTTAATCAAATTGAGTAAAAAAAAAAAAAAAAAAAAAAAAAAAAAAGTCACCTGAGCATTATACGGTATTGTTGGACTACAGTCGCCTGCTCATGTAACTAGTCCTCCTCCAGTACCCTTGAACCTAGGGTGTTTCTTACCTGCAGATGACAGCTTCACATGCCTTACTGTTACGTTTTGCTACCTATCGCATTTTGTGGTCAGAAGAGGAAAGGCCAAAGTGCTGGTTTAATAGTGGGACTGTCGAAAGCACTTGGTGTAATCGGAATCTAACGTTGTTGAATCTCTGCTTATTGGAGCCTCTTTGCTCAGCTTTAAAAGTTAAATAAGGAAAGGAAGTGCTGCACCTTATGGGTACTTCAGCTGTGCCGTGTAGCTTATGACAGTGGCCCTTATGAGCAGTTGTTTGAAAGTTGATCTAGGCCCAAATGCTAAAATCTTATAAGCTTTAGCATGTTCTTGTAACTTCAGAATTAGTTTCAGCTGTGTGCTGTTTTTTGTTTTTTTTTTCTTTTTTATATCCATGTTTCCATTACAATATCTTGTAATGCTGCAAGTCAAGTCTAAGTCTAAAGCCTTGAACACAGGGGCCAAAACCATTCCGTTCACCAGAAACTGTCCAACTCTCAGCCCATGTGTACACCCTTCTATCGAACGGCATGCTGGAAGAGCCATCATGTTACCTGTATCCAATCAGTGTGTTCTGGAGAAGGGGGGGGGGGGGGGGGGTAGTACCATTCTACAATTTGGACATAGATTTGGGTATCCTTTTTTTTTTTTTTTTTTTCGCTGCTAAAGTTGCAAATGATATAATATGCTCTGTTTTTGTTTTTCAATAGGAATTGAAATAATCAGAAGAACACTGAGAATCCCTGCAATGACGATAGCGAAGAATGCAGGTGTTGAAGGATCGTTGATTGTTGAGAAAATCCTGCAGAGCCCTGCTGGCATAGGATATGATGCCATGGCTGGGGAATTTGTGGATATGGTGGAAAAGGGCATAATTGATCCCACTAAGGTAACACTAGAACCTTTTTAAAAATGTTTTCTTTTTTTTAAATCTGTTTGTTTTAAATCTTCAGTTGCGTACTGACAGGTGTTCTTTAATGCGGAACAACACCTTATCTGCGCACCACAAAGCAAAAATGCTATTTTGATTAATTTTTAATATTCAAAGCAAACTTCCCCTTCCACCCATATCTCCATGCTTTATTTTGCTGAGAAATCACTTTGAAAGACGCTAGCATTTTTGGAGAGAGAGAGAGAGAGAGAGAGAGAATATGATTCATGCATCATTGACTTCCTAGAATCAATCTGCCCTTACTTCAGGTAAACAAGTACTTGGCTGAAAAAAAACCCTCCTCCCCTCCAAAAGACATGTTTGTTACTTAAAAAAAAAAAAAAAAAAAAAAATCTTTATCACTTTAATGCCTCCACCAACCGCCTGACTACAGCCTGTCATGTAAAATAGGAAATTCAGTGAAAAAAGATTTTGGACTTTTAAGGCACCACAGTTCCAAAAATATATTTTTTTTATACATCATTTAAAATCGCCAATGTCATGTAAAATACCTATTCCTCCCATTCCACGGATATTTACAGTGCAGCTTTGCCAGTATTGCACATTCTTTGCTCAGAAAGCTTCCCCACTTGAGTCTCTACCTGGCATGCTTGCCACAGCCCCGTTCATTCCTGCGAGCCCCTCCACCATTGCAATTTGAGCATGTAATACACTTTCCTAAAATGGATTACCTGGAGAAATTTTTAAATTGTTATAAAGGCTAAACATTACTACCTCCCCTCCCCCCCCCCCCCCCATTTTACTTCCCTGAGCCCTCATTCAATCCAGCTCTGCGCCCATCTGCAGCTCTTCTCTCCCTTCACTTTCTTTTCTCTCAGGCTTTGCTCTGCTGTCAGTCAAGGGTTGAAAGAGTTGGTGGGCAGGGCCAGGCCCCCGCTGTCTGTGTCAATAGACACAAACAGGCTCAGCAATGAACCCACACAAGTGCCTCCATAGAAAGTGGCTTTCTATGGGGGCACTCGGCCGAGGGGAGGAGCTAGGGCTGGTGTGGGACCCAAGAAAAGGGTGTGTGTTTTTTGTTTTTTTTTTGTTTGGTTTGGGGGGGGGGGGGTTGTTTTTTTTAAAACCACATTTACAATCAAAGTGGAAAGTCAGTCCTGACGAGGCCACACATTGAAGCTTTCCTATGAGTAGTGTTGTTGATGTATTGAAATGTGTAATTCTGTATTTTTGTTTTTCTTTCTAATCAAGAAAAAAAAATTTTTTTTCTTCTTTTTGGCAATTAGGTTGTACGGACTGCTTTAATGGATGCAGCAGGTGTAGCTTCTCTTTTATCAACTGCAGAAGCTGTAGTGACTGAAATACCAAAAGAAGAGAAGGATCCTGGCATGGGTGGCATGGGCGGTATGGGTGGCATGGGTGGAATGGGAGGAGGAATGTTCTAAAGGACTCTTGAATAGAGAGCGGTTTACTGACTGTGCAGCACCTACAGTTGTCCAGAAGTCATGAAGGCCAGAAGATCCATAATGGCAGAAAAAAAATGTGCAGCGTTGAGGATTATGCAGTTTCTGTCATAATCATCATCATGTCTTTTGAATAATTTATTACAGATTCATCTTTGTACATTCCTTAGGTGTCTGTACCTGTATTTTGCATTTGGCAAATTGTAAGTTTTTTTTTTTTTTTTTTTTTTTTTTTTTTTTTTTAAATAAATTTTTCAACAGCGATACTTGAATAGTGTAATTTTACTAAACCATAGAATTTTACATTTTCATTTTTTTTTCTGCAAAAATTACTATCACCCTTAAAGTGTAATATAATTCCTAAATAAACAGTAGCTATTTCAGATTATTCTAAACTGTTTGCATAGTGCATATTTTCAACCCAACATTAAGAGTCGGATATAGATGTTTCCAGGGCTGATACTTGCATACATGGTAAATGTTACATGATATAAGTACAATGCTACTTTCAGTTATAGGTAACGGAAGTGCAGTTATGTTTTGCTTGCACCCTCTAGTGCTGACATCACTAACTGGCAGACTGCGATCCTGATCCGGACCAAGTCATTATTCCATTCAGTTCGGCCGCAATTTAGGAGACGGCTCTTCTGCTAAGCCGCCGTCACTGCTGTCATCCTCATCAAGCCAACATTGGAGGCAGGACAGTTGGTCGGATGGACAGCGGGAAGTACATCAGTCAAGAACTGACATTGGAGGGCAGGAGCTGACAAGTTAACCAGCAGGTGGTTGATTGCTAGCAACCAATATCAATCTGGTGACCAGAAAAAGTTGTGCAGCTCCCGCCCTCCTTCCAGAACTGTCCTACCTCCGATGTAAGCGCTAGGCCAGGGGTACTCAACCTTTCGATAAGTGAGGGCCACTTAAGAGATTTGGTAACCATTCGTGGGCAAAAGAAATGGTTCAGAATCTCACATTTTTTATTTTGAATAGCATAATGAACATTTTCGTCCTGCAGCTGGTGAAAAGGAGAGGAGGAGAAGCCAGCTGATTTGTATTTATCCTGTCCAAGTGTAACAGGAACCAATGTGACAGGGAGGCCGCAATGTCCTCCTGGAGCATGGGAGTTGAGCTAACCTGCAGCAAAGCCACAGGTGCACTGTGCTGCACCTGCAGATTAATGTGAAAGCAGCCTAATCCTTTTGTAGGTGCTAATATGCTCAATGCGAAAGTGCAGTGTATGTGTGGTTTAATACACTGAACTGTTCTTCTTCCAGCTTCTGCTGGCATTGCTCTCCAGGCTGCTAAAAAGGTCCCAGGTGAGGTGTACTTGGTATCACTCCACCACAGGTGCCAGTGCTACAGGGGAAGCATCGGTTTATGTGGCTCCTGCTGGGATGGTGGGTCAGCAAGTCCAGATCACGGTCAATGGGTTGCCAACCCTATGTATGCAGTTTCCTGGTTTGAGGTCAAAGGGCTCCAAGGGTCACAGGTTGAGCACCCTTGCTCGTGACTGATATGCCTCCTGCCATTTTGTCCAGTGTAGGTAGAACAATGAAGAAAGAAAAACAAAGAAATGGGCCACAAAATCAAGAGGGTAAGTTGTAAACCAGCTCTCTGACTCACCTAAAATTTGGAGAGGGTGCATATACCTGAAAAATATAACCGCTGTGAAGAACAAACTGAAAAGTAGGCAATGATTAAGCACCCAAGCAGAATAGCGAAGAATAAAAAAATGTCCAAAACTTTTTATTGATCAAACATTAAAAAGTCACAAATCTTGAAGAGAATTGGTACTGATACCTTCCAGGAATGAGTGACCAGAATGTCAGCCTTTAAACATTAACCGTTAGCCGCCCGGCCAATGGCCGTTTGGCGGCTTGAAAGCGCTGCAGCTTTCCGGGTGCACGCCATTTGGCGTGCTCCCGCACATGCGCGGTTTGCGCGGTTGCAGAGCGACGCAGCAGTGCAATCTGTCACCGCCTGTGCACCTCGGACACGGCCGATGACAGATCCGAGTACCGGCTCCCGTTGCCGGTACCATGTGACCTGCTGTGACCAATCACAGCAGGTCACATGACAGTTGTATACAATGGATGGCTTCATTCATGATGCCATCCATTGTATACTAGTGCCTAGCTGTGAATGGTCACAGCTAATCACATGCACATGTCATGTGATTAGCTGTGACCAAATCACAGCTAAGCACAAAAAAAAAAAAAAAAAAAAAAAAAAAAAAAAAAAGCTGAATGAATCGATTTCATTCATGTAAATGCTTGCTTATAGCAAAGTAATTCTTTGCTATAAGCAAATTGTGTAAAAAAAAAAAAAAATACTGATCACTTCCCCAAAGTAGTACAGTGTTACTATGGTAACATTGTACTATTTTGGTCATAGTAAAATATGAAAAAAAAATCTTAAAAAAAATTAAAAAAATGTAATAAAAAATTAAATATAAAAAAAAAATTAAAAAAAAAAAAATATATTTTTTTTTTTCATACTGTCACCAGTCAGTGTCGCTGTTCACCGCCATGCCAGTTATATGATGACGCTGTACTGCACTGGTGACAGTATGTAAAAAAAAAAAAAATAGTGAAAATAATTTTTTTTATTTTTTAATTTTCCGAAAAATTATGACAAAAAAATACAACTTCAAAAAACTCGCCATGCCTCTTATGAAGTACGTCGGACTGTCTACTCTGCAAAAAGGGGTAATTTGGGGGATATCTGTACTGTCCTGACATTCTTGGACCTCAAGAAATTAGATTGGCTGTCAGTACTTCAGGATTTATCAATATTCAGATCTATACCATAGTTTGTGAACTCTATAACTTTCCTACAAACTAAAAAATACATCCTAATTTGGGTTATTTTCACCAAAGACATGTAGTAGATACATCTCGGCCTAAATTTATGAAGAACAATTATTTATTTGTAAACTTTTATAACAGAAACAAAGAAAAATGTGTTTTTTTTTTTTTTTTTCAAAATTTTTGGTCTTTTTTTGTTAATTTAGCAAAAAATAAAAACCCCAGCGGTGATTAAATACCACCAAAAGAAAGCTCTAGTTGTGTGAAGAAAATGATAAAATTTTAGTTTGGGTACAATGTTGTATGACCGCGCAATTGTCATTCAAAGTGTGAGAGCACTGAAATAACTGGCCTGGGCAGGAAGGTGTAAAATTGCACGGTATTGAAACGGTTTAAAAATGAGCAGTCTGGATTGCAATGTCAAACATAGGTCAATAACATGTCGCATATGTCCCAATGGGCTGTGAGCTCCTAACTAGTGATGGTTCGAACCTAATGGAAGTTCGACCACAAACTTTTAACTCAATGCAAGTCTGTGGGACTCGAACTTGTAAATTCAAATCTGCCCATCTTGAAGGCTTATATGCAAGTTATTGGCCATTAAAGGGGTATGAGGACTCTCGGGTATTGCCCTGAGGGACATGACCTGATTCCGCATTCACTAAAGGGTTAAAATTGTGAAACATATTAACGCTTACTTATTCTCAAAGGTGGGGGAAGCATCAGGGGGCTAATGAGCCCACCTGCCCGCAGACCCCCACATCCACCTGGCAAGGGTTGTGGGAAAGAGGCCCTTGTCACCATCGTCATGGGGACACCTTCCCAATACTGAAGGCACGTGACCTGGCAAGGCTCAGGGAGGGGGGCACTCATTCATCCCCCCTCCCTTTCCTGGCCTGCCTGGCCTGTGCTCGGATCAAGGGTCTGGTAGGCATTTAGGGGGGACCCCATGCTAAAAGCTATACCAAGCCCTTTAGGTGGGGTTCCCCCTAAAGGGCCTGTTATAGCTTTTAGGGGGAACCCCATGCACTTTTAAACTTTTTTTTTTTTTTTTTTTTGTTACTGTGGGCTTCTTCCTAACCTTCCTACCATACCCAAGGGGTATGGATTGGGGGGAACCCTATGCTGTTGTGTTTTTTTTGTTTTGTTTTTTTTCATGTATTTTTTATGCTATCTTTTTCATTTCTGTAATTTTTTTTTTTTGGGAGAGAGTATTCTCCCCTCTGTCTTATAGTGTGGGATGGGGACTGTGTACTGAGAGAGGGCAGTGCATTGTGTGGGGTGTTTGGCGGGTGAATAGTTGGTGGTGCCTTTACATCGTAACCCTGCAGAGTTATTCGACAAGTGCAGGATTGGACCCTGCTCTAAATATTCTCATTATATGCATCTGTCACACAGGTGAGGAAAAATTGGGCCTTGGATGTTAGTGGTGCCTGAACACTGCAACTCCTCAGTTACTTTTGCTGGGGGCAGTAATGGGCCCTGCTGTTTTTAATTGTTAACAATTAGAGAAAAAAATGTACAAAACTGAAATTACATGCACCTGTCCAAGCAGGTGCAGAAAAATTGGGTGTTTTTGTAGTGCCCTAAACCAAAACATTGTTGGAAGCTATCATAATCAGGATTCAGAAATAGGATAAGCAGTACAGGCAGTCTTCTTCAGGGACCCCAGATCCCTAACAAATATAATCAGTTATATCAGCATCAGGGTCTTGATAGCGGCTGTTGATCCAGGTCTGATTCATATTGATAAATGTCAGCCAATCAACGAAGTCTGGACAGATGTACTCTTTTATCCATCACAAAACCTCCAGCAGCACTGAATGCAGGACAAGCCAGTAGCTTGAAGCAATATTGAGCAAGTTCTGGCCAGGGATCCATCCTCAAGACCCAGTAACCCAGTGGATGCTCAGTTGAAAAGGTCTCAAAGTCTGCTTTTGCCCCTAGATAATCCTGCACCATATGATGCTGCCGATGGGTGCTTAAACCTAAGAGCCCTGGGCGATGAGGACTAAAGAATAGTTTAACCACTTGCGCTCCTGAGGATTTACCCCCCTTAATGACCAGCCTCTTTTTGCTACTCAGCGCTGCATTAAGTCAACTGATAATTGCGCGGTCATGCAATGCTGCACCCAAACGAAATTTACGTCCTTTTTTTCACACAAATAGAGCTTT